GATGGGGATTCCTTGTGGCAGATCAGGAGGGTGGGCCTGATCTCAACTTCTCACGTCTCACTCAAAGTGGGGAGAGCGACAAAAGTCTGGCAAAACACACTGAGACGGAGTTTAACGTTTTAGAAGTCAACACAAGAATTTACCATGCTGCTTAGAGTTGCGGGAGGCTACTCTAGTCATTTAGCTTTCGCGGTCTCACAAATGATGTAACCTCAGCAAAGAACATATACACCTGAGAAGCACAAATAGCTTGGAAGAGGGAGGATTACTTTGTTTCAATCAATGATATGAAGTAAAGGTAAAGTCACCATGGTCATAGCGGACCATAGGGCTGCTCTCTCATCGGAGAGCGATGACTGGAGGTGGTTTAACCGAAGGCAAAGGGTGAGGGTGAGGAGGTGGGACCTTCATGGTAATCTCAGCTGGTGCAGGAATTAAACCTATGCTGTTGGCATCATTCTGCATTGTGAACCAGCTGTCCAGCCAACTGAACTAACTGCTCCCTCCCACAAACAATGGTATTGTGAACAATTATGTCAACAGATGGACATTTCGTCAAATCAGCAGTGTTCCACCGCAGTCATTTTATAGGTACCAGCACATAGAAACAAGAACAGAAAATTGTGGGATGTGTTCAGCAGACCCAGGCAGCATTTGTTTTCTAGACTCCACAGGTGTTGCCTGTCTTTTATCAGGCCACTGTTATTTTTATTTCAAGTTTCATTTTTTTTTTAATTATTTACCACATAACGTGCAGAATGGCAGCCCAAACTACGCACCAGCCTGACTTGGAAATATATCAGCATTGCTTCACTGTCACTGAGTCAGAATCCTGGAGCTCACTGTGTAACAGCACTGTCGCTGTATCCACACCACATGAACTGCAAAGATCCAAGAGGGCAGCTCACCACCACCTTTTACTAGGGCATTGAGGGATGGGCAATAAATGTTTGCAAAGCTCGTGCTGCTTACACCCACCAAAGGAATGTATTACAAACAAAATTCCTGTGCATGTGACCCTAATATGGCACCATCTCCTCTTCCAAGTATGTCAGAAAACCAATAATCAGTAACTGCAGGCCATTTAATTTGAAGTTGTATCTTTCAGACGTATGTGCTGGTAATGTGCGAGACTCCATCATCTTCAGTTAGTGCTGAAACATTCTCACATTCGTCGTCTTTCATACAGCTTTAGGAGCAGAAGTTGTGGTTACAGTTTTAATATCGAGTTCAAGTTACAGCAACTATGGATGATTTCAATTGTGCATATATGAATAGGAAAAGTGAATATGAAAGCAAGCTATCAAGAACATAAAGGCAGAATGTAATGGATAAAAGATTAACAAGGATAAATATGGCCTATTACAGGTGGAGAAAGGAGAATTTGTAGTGGAGATCAGGAAGTGGAAGAAAAAGTAAATAGTGTGGTGTATCTGTCTCCACAGAACAAGTGTCAAACATTTCCCAGAAATACCAGGCAATTAAGGGACTTGTATAAATAAACAGCTAAAAGGAATTAGTATCAGTGAAGACGTAGTATTTGAAAAATTAACTGAAAACGTTAATAACTACCGGGCCAGATGAGTTTCATTCCTGAATGTTGAAGGAAGTAGCAATAGAAATAGTGAGTGGACTGGTGGTTACCTTTAGTGATTTTGTAAATGCTAGCTGGATTCCTGCTGACCGGAAGGTAGAAAATGTAACTTCATTATTTAAAAAGAGAAGAGGGAGAGTGGAATTGTAGGCCTGTTAGCTTGCTATCCACTGTCGGGAAAATGTTAGAAGCTGCTATAAAGGATGTGACAGTGGAACATGTAGAAAAGAGTGGCAAAACTGAACAGGGTCAACGTGATTTATCAAAGGAAATTGAACTTGTAACTTTTTAAGGATATTACTTGTAGCACAAAAAATGGAAAACCATTGTGTTTGATTTTCAGAAAGCCTTAGATAAGGTCCCACACAGGATGATTGGGGAAAATATATCAAAATGGATTGAGATTGGTTGAGCAGACAGAAAGCAAAGAGTATGAGTAAATGCATCATTCTCAGGATTATGTGGTACTGCAATGTCAGTGCAAAGTCCACAACTATTCACAATTAATATAAATAATTGGGATACGGGGATCAACTGTAATATTTCCAATTTGCTGACAGTAGGAAACTGGGTGGGAATGGAAGTGTGAGGAGGGGTCAAGGAGGCTTGGACAGGCTATGAGATTGGACAATAACACAGGAGATAGAATGTAGTAAGTATGAAGTCTATTCATTTTTAAGGAGAAAACAGGCACATTATTTTGTGAATGATGAGAAATTGGGAATTGCGAATGTCCAAAGGGATCTGGATGTCTTGTCCCTAACTTACTAAAGGCTACCTTGCAGGTACAGCAGGACATTAGACAAATAGAACATTGATATTCATTTCCAGGGGATTTGAGCGCAGAAGTTACGATGTTTTCGCTGCAGTTACTTGGTGAGACGTCCCCTGGAGGTTTGTGTACTGTTTTGATCTCCTTATCTAAAGAAGGATATACTTGCCACAGAGGCAATGCAATGGAGGTTCACCAGATTAATCCCAGGGATGGCAGGATTAGTGTATAAGTGGAGATTTGAGAAAACTGGATTTTTATTCTCCAGAGTTTTGAAGAGTGAGGGTTGACCTAACCAAGACTCTCAAAATTCTTACAGGGTATGGCAGGGTGGATAAGGATAGTATGTATCTCCTTGGTCCGTAACACTAGAATCAGGGACATAATTTCAGGATAAGGGGCAGGCCATTTGGGACTGAGATGTGGAGCAATATTTTCACTCAGAGGTTGGGGAAATCTTTGGATTGTCTACCCCAGAGGGCTGTGGAAGCTCAATCATTGAGCAGGTTCAAAACAGAAATCAATAAGTTTCTGAAGACTAATGATGTAAAGGGACGGGGTGGGGGGAATACAGGGTCTGAGGGAAATCACAGAGGGCCCCCCCCCTTTCCCCAGGTCACCCTATCCTGGCTTCTCCCAGATGCCTATGGTCTGAGCGCAGCATTCTCCCGAATCTGCCTGATTCACCCGACCGTAGGCAAGGTTCTGTTCTGTTCTGTTCTGGCCTTTGGAGAATAGTGCAGGGAAAGAGGCATTGAGGAAGTGATCAGCCATGGTTAAAAATAGCAAGTCCGGCCCAGTAGGCTGAATGGTTTACTCCTGTTTGTGTGTTCCCTGACCAGTCCAATGCCCTGCAGGAAAGCAAGAGTAACTCCAGGATGTCACCCTCAAACTTCAGTCAGGGGTCAGAATGTTACAATGATCCCATGGTTTGGTCAGGTCACAGACTATAATGGCTGTGTCCAGTTGATATTCTGTTGAGAGTCCTGGAGGTGGTTGTAGCCTGGTTGTTGAGGTGTTGGATTGAAACTAAAGTGTTTATTTTGGGGGGAAAAAATGTTCTCACATTGATTATATCCTCCAAATGTCTGTTGCGAGTTATATGTTAGAAATGCTTAATTTCAGATGAGAGCAAAGTCTGGGGATATTTTACAGAGCACAGGCACTGGATTGTTTTTGTAAAAGTCCAAAATATAGATTTAAAGCAGCCCCTGTTAATACTACTTTTCAAAGTAGCTTAAAATCTTATTTCACCGCCAGTAATGGGATTGCTTCTTCCAAAAAACTGTCCAGCCACTTTTCAAACTTTGTTGTTTAAAATGCTGCTGAGCTCCTCCATTAATAGGGTTTGGGCATCATTAGTGCTGGTCAAAACATTCAGATTTAAATCTGTCGATGCCTTTGGCCGAGATTGCTGCCAAATTGGCAAACCTATTCTACACAAGGATGACTGGTGTGTGAGATGGAAATGGCACATTGAAGTGGCAGCTGTTCCTTTGGTGTTGAGATTAATGAATTAATTGTTGGGACAGAATTGGGAGAGCTTAACTCTGCAGCTGGTTGTGTTTAAAATCACTCACAAAAAGAACTTCCATCCTTCTCTCAGCACTGAATCCTCTCACATTAATGGGTACAAGGTTCACATGAAAACAAAAGCTAAATGGGAAACACGCAAGATTTTTGTTCGTTTGTAAAGGTCTTTATCATACAAGTGGGAAAGGTGAGGTTTGTGAAATTGACCTTTTTTTTGGTTTTGCTTATCGTTCTGTTGCCCCTCTGTCCGAGAGGATACTTTCCTGAATCGAAATTCCCCTTTCCTGTCTCTTCCTATTCATTGTCTGTGCCCTGACCTGTCTAGTCATGAGGGCAGATGCCCCCAGCTACTTCCAGTGCCTCAGCCAGCAGGAGAGTAACTCATTTTCCCTCAGTTGGAAGATACTGCAGTGTTTCCATGTCAGATGAATCGGATGAGGAATGGAAAACCGTGAGGCTCAAATCAGCACCTGTTCCCTCGTGTCTCTCACCAACCCCCACCCCCTCACTTTCACTGCCCACACCCAGCAGATTGACATTGCCTTGCCAGCACTCACTACCATCCCACTGTGTGCAGCACCACTGATCTTCATTGATCACCTGCAAAGTGCATGTTCCTTTATCCTTTATTCCTTTATTCATTCACGGGATGAAGGCGTTGCTTGCCAGGCAGCATTTATTGCCCATCCTTAATTGCCCAGAGGGCAGTTAAGAGTCACCCACATTGCTGTGGGTCTGGAGTCACATTAGGCCAGACCAGGTAAGGATGGCAATTTCCTTCCTCTAAAGGACATTAGTGAACCAGATGGGTTTTTCCCAACAATTCACAATGGATTCACGGTCATCATTAGACTCTTAATTCCAAATATTTATTGAATTCAAATTCTCCTTCTGCCATGGCGGGATTCGAACCCAGGTTCCCAGAACATTGTCTGGGTCTCTGGATTAACAATCCAGTGATAATACCACTAGGCCATCACCTCCCCTGTTCACTGTGCCTCCACTTCTCATCCATTGTTAACGGGGCTGGAAGGAAGACTGTGGCGAATGTTGTGCCTAACCTGTGGCTAATTTGTGCTGTGTGCATGACTTAAAATGCAGGATGAGCTGGACGAGCTGCGGTCAGAAATGGAAGAAATGAGAGATAGCTATCTGGAGGAGGATGTATACCAGCTGCAGGAACTCCGCAGAGAGTTGGATCGAGCCAACAAGAACTGCCGCATCCTGCAGTACCGCCTCAGGAAAGCTGAGCAGAAAAGCCTGAAAGTTGCTCAGACTGGCCAGGTTGATGGTGAGCTGATAAGGAACCTGGAGCAAGATTTGAAGGTAAGGTCGATTCCTTGGCGCAATGTGCCTGCTCAATTCACTAGCCCTTATTCTGATTGCTGAGGGGAAACTGTAAACCAACAATAACCACATTTATCACATAACCCACCACAATGGGCTGGAGAGGCTGTGTCGTTAAGTATATTTAAGGTTAAGATAGACTGATTTAAGGGAATCAAGGGTTATTGGAGATGAGGGAGCAAAGTGGAGTTGAAAATGATCAGATCAGCCATGATCTCATTGGATAATGGAATGCACTCAATGGACTGAATGGCCTACTCATGTTTTTATGACTTTCCCCAAATGAGGAAATGAACAATAAAAACTCACTTTGTGAAACTTTCATCTTGAAACAAGTTAGAACCAACACCATGAATAAGCAGGAATTAACAGGCAAATGATACTTCAGATAAAACGTTCCTTTCTAAATAGCTGATAGAACAAAGATATGCCTTATGTAATCATAAGTACCACATCACTCCCTACGCAAGTGTGGCACAACGTGCAATCTCACTTCTTCCAGCTAGTACACAGGATCTCTGACTTTCTTTGTCAATTTATTTAGCCCATGAGTCACATTCACCAGCAGCTGTATTCCATCTGATATGGTTAACACCAACAGGATACTCATCAATCTCTGAACCGTCCCGTACATGGCCTGATGGTGAAGTTTACCAGAGGTGATTTTCGACTGACCAATCAATAACAACAGCACTGCCCCTCCAATTCATAAATTGGCCATTTCTGAAACAAACAAATTCTTTTGTGCAAGTAGCTCTGAGTCACCACTTTCCAGGTTTTACACCTTTCTAGCCAACTTGCACAATGGATCCAAGAGCTCCTGTCTCCTTTACTGACAAATAGAAAACCAGCCATGTTCTGAAAGAGATTTTCTTCTCGCCAGAATTTTCTGTATTCCCCTTTTTGTGAAGGCATCTGTGTGTGTTAACCATCTTCACCCACTATATCCTTCCTCTAAATCGCCTTTGTGGCTTTTTGGTATTTAAATTCCTTCCTGTTTGTATAGTTTCCAGGTCACCAGGCCACATTTATTTTATTATTCAAGGAAATTACAATTATTTTTTTTTTCAAATTGCTGCAAGCTCCTTGTGGGCCTTTTGAAAGATTCTTAAAACGGCCACAGATTCCCTGGACATTTTAAAGAAATAACAAGCTTTTCTGACTCTACTGCTTTTGGGTCTTATATCTGGGAACAAGAGAAGTCAGAACTGTACCACTGATACAGATACAGTGCTAAATAAGAAACACCGCAACTTTCACAGACAAAAAGAGAACATTATGGGAGTACAAATTCGGTTTGTATTGCTTAGTCTGTGCCTCAGATACATTGTATCGATCCCCACACCAGCTAATTGTCGACTCAGTCATTTAATTTCACTCACTGAAACATTGACTTTGAAACTGTTGCACTCTTAGCAATTTCATTCATACTTAGATAAACCTTCACTTAGTCATCCATATCCACTCATGCATATGAGTCATTCATAAATAATTATACTCATATGAATTGCCACAGTTATTCAAACACACACATATACATCATCAAAATGAAAAGTGTCGGATAAAAACGGAAAGAACTACGGATGCCGTAAACCAGAAATAGAAACAAATTGCTGGGAGAGCTCAGGTCTGGCAGCATCTGTGGAGAGAAATGTTTCAGGTCGAGTGACCCTTCCTCAGAACTGATGGTAGCGAGGAAAATGTGTTTCCTGGTCAACATCTCTGTCTCAGGCTTGCTGCAGTGCTCCAGCGAAGCTCAGTGCAAGCTGGAAGAACAGCACCAAACTGGTTGAACTCAATATTGAGTCCCAAAGGCTGCAGGGTCCCCAAGCAGAAAATGAGGTGCTGTTTTTCCAGCTTGTGCTGAGCTTCGCTGGAGCACTGCAATGAGCCTGAAATAAAGATGTTGACCAGGGAACACATTTTCCTCGCTACCATCAGTTCTGAGGAAGGGTCACTCGACTCGAAATGTTAACTCTGATTTCTCTCCACAGATGCTGCCAGACTTGCTGAGCTTTTCCAGCAACTTCTGCTTTCGTTTCTGAAAAATATTGGAAATGTGCAACAGTTTTTGCGAGCATAATTTAAAGAAAAGATACCATTTGCACCAAAAGTATTATTGCAACTTCTGGCATTTGCCAGGTTTTGCCTGTGTGTCATTTGCTTGTTTTTGCGTGGATGATGCAGAACAATATCAGTGAATTATTTTTGACCCCCCCGATGCTAGTTTTCAAGAAAACCGAATCAAAAAATGCTTGAAACCCCCAGCAGCCCAGTATATTTGGAGAGAACTGGAAAGTCAGTGCTTAAAGTGTATGAATTCTTCACTAATTAGAAAGTTAAAACCATATTCACCCACTGGTTCCAACATCCCACCCCTCATATTTAGCTTCTGACTGTTCTAGAGAGAAACAAAAAACATGTTCCTCTCAATTTCTCCCTTCATAACCATATTGTAAATAATTGAGGCCCCAGCAGTGATTACAGTGCTATGCCACAAGTTACAAGTTGCCATCTGAAATTGCCCCTTACCCGAACACTCAGTTATCTACTCGTTAGCTGACCCTCTATTCATGCTGATATACTACTCCCAACACCAGAGGATCTTATTAGCTAGTCTTACTTGTGTCACAATATTGATAGCCTTTTAGAAATAAAAATATATTACATCTATTACTTCCCCTTTATCTTTCCTGCTTGTTGCCTCCTCTATGAACTGTAATAAATTGTCACAAAGTCATGCTGACCCTGCTTGATTAAATTATTGCTTCTAAATGCTTTGTTATTGGATCTTTTATAATGGATTCTAACATTTTCCCAATGACATATTAAGCTAACTGGCCTACAGTTAGCTTGTTTTTATGCATCTCTTTTTGAATAAGGGTAGTACATTAGCAGTCTTCCAATCCTCTAGTTATCTCTAATCTCTGCCATAATTATTTTATTTTTTTCTTTCAATTTGATGCTATCCTTAAGTTCCTTGATTAACTGTGGTTGGTTTCTCTCCTTCCTAGAACCCTTCCTCCACACTGGGATACATCTTCTGTGAGTCATGAACTATTTCTTAAATATCTGCCATTATCCTTCACCTATCTTTTTTGCTGAACTCCTTTTCCCACTCGCTGCATCTCTGCCCTCATTTCCTTTGTAATTATTCTTAGTGAAGTTTCTCACTCTCAAAGTGACTGTTAAATTTTACCAAGTTATGGTCACTGTTCCCAAGGGTTTTGTTTTTTTCTCTCAGATGTTTTGTTAAACCTGCTTCATTGCAAAATGAGAAGCAAAACAGATTGATTCCTGGTTGGATCCACAACATATTGTTCTAGGAAGCTGTCCCAAATACACTCTATGAATTCTTCCCTCATGGTTACCTTCACAAATATTAATTTTCCCAATCTACATGAATATGAAAGTCTCCTATGATGAGCTAATTTACTTTGTTGCATTGTTAACTTCTCATATTATTTTCACTGTTTGTGGGGTGTTAGAGTTTCAATGTGTGGCAGAGTGGACTGAAACATAAATTAAAAGCCGTTTGGAAAACTTTCTTCTGGTGAAATAAGCACAACAAAATATTTTGCTTCAAAATTCTTCCCTCTGCTTTAGATATTAATCCTCTTACAGGGATGCGATTCCACAAGTGTTTCCCTCAGATAAGTCAGCTCAACGATAATTCTTTGTCTGAATCTGGCCAGTAGCTTAGCTAAGGATGATCAGACCTGCCTGTGATGCACATTATCATTGCCGGTGAACACAGGGTGGATCATTTTCTTTATTCACTTAGGGGTTATGGGCAAAGCTGGCTGGGCCTGCGTTTATAGCCTATCCCTAATTACCCTTTAGAAGGTGGTGGTGCTGAGATATCTTGAATTTCTGCAATCCATTTAGTGTAGAATGCTGTCGGGGAGGGAGTTCCAGTATTTTGACTCAGTGACAGAATGGTGATATAATTTCAAGTCAGGGTGCTGAATCTGGTTTGTATGGCTCGGCATCACTGTTTTCTTGCAAAGTCTTGTGGGATTATTTTGAAGGATAGTTTTCCAGGAGAATTTCAGCTGCATTGATGGAGTTGTTTTTGTTTTGCTGTTACTTGCAGGTTGCAAAAGATGTGTCTGTGCGCCTGCACCACGAGCTGGAGAGTGTGGAGGAGAAGCGCGTCACTGTGGAAGATGAGAACGAGTCCCTGCGGCAGAGACTAATCGAAGTAGAAATCTCCAAGCAAACCCTGCAGAACGAGCTGGACAGGATCAAAGAGGTGAGCTCAGGATCCGAAATATTGCTGGTATTGAACATTGTCCCCACAGCCCTTTACACCACTGATAATCAGAAATCTGAAGCATTCTCCGTGATTGAGCTTCCAGAGTCCCCTGCGGTAGAGAATTTCAAAGGTTATGGCAGCATCTGTGCAGAGAGAGTAACAGAAGTAACATTTCAAGTCTGGTAAGACTCTTCTTCAGTTGAAAAGGAAACTCCTGTTCTCAGTCCTAAGTCCGTGAGGGGAGGGGAGTCTGTCTTACCTGCATCTACCCTATCCCTCCCTTTAAGTATTTCATAATTTTCATCGAGATCACCTCTCATTCTATGAAACCGTAGAGAGTACAGGTCCAGTTTCTCTTCATAGAACAGTCCTGCCATCCCAGGAACAAGTCTGGAGGACCATCATTGCACTGTGTCTAGTGCACTAATATTCTTCCTGCGATAATGAGACTTAAAATGCACACAGTACCCCCGTGCGGTCTAACCAAAGTTTCTATACACTTGAAGCAAGACTTCAACACACCTGTACTCAAATCCTCTGTCAACATAGGCCAGCATTTTACAAGCCTTCCTAATCGCTTGCTGTACCTGCATGTTAGCCTTCAGTCACTTATTGACTTGCTGTACATCTATACTTTCCAAATTCTTAACATTGAAGGAATACTCTGCAGATCTGTTCCTCCTACCAAAGTGGATAACCTCCCATGTGAATAATTCACTATTTCTTCTTTCAAACATAGCCAGCCACCTGGATAACAAAACGTTTCCCATCAAATGCCGGTTCCCTTAGTTCAGCAATGAATGTTAGAGCCCTATTTTAACCCTGTAAGTTTTGCACAGGTTAAAATCGTTCCTGTGCAAAATAAATATGACCAGCATGGAGCTCTTGATGTAGAAATATATTGTCTCCTACCCAGTTTCAAGTCACGTTCAAAGGTATCAGTTGCTTTTAATCTGTCGCTGCTGATGTTTGCCACTTCATTTCTATTGTCATTCATTGTGCCTCTTGCATTGAATTTTCCTATGTCTTCAGATTTTCTTCTAAGTATTGTGTCACCAAAATCTGCTGGGAATTTTAATGTAAAGTATCAGATGTGAGTGTATATCAATACAGTATGGAACTAAAGGAACACAGCAGGTAAGGCAGCATCAGAAGAGCAGGGCAGTCATCGGCAGAACCTGATGAAGGGTGTAAACCCGAAATATTAACTTTCCTGCTCCTCTGATGCTGCCTGACCTGCTGTGTTCCTCCAGCTCCACACTGTATTGACTCTGACTCCAGCATCTACAGTTCTTGCTATCTCTGAGATGAGAGTGTATTCCTATGACAATGAAGTATTTTTTTTTCCTAAGAGATTCAAAACTGTTGATAGGGAACTTTTCAGCACTACACTGGGAATGAAGAGGTAAACTTTCTGTGGAACCAGCAAATATGCCAGCTGCATGTAGTCTGCGAGTCTTGTGTCACTGGTATTTATTTCAGCACTTCTATTTCAAGCCAGGACATAAAATAAGGCTTCTGAGCAGAATGTGTTACTCAGCTGTGTCATTTCACAGCGCATTATTGTAAGAAATGTGCTGATGAGGAGAAATTTAGTGTTCGTATTTCATACCGCTTCATTGGAGTTAAATTTTTAAGGTGTCTGACTAGACCATTATACATAGCAGTGCTGCTGTTTGTCAAGCCTGGATTCTTCAGATGCTTCTAGCAAAAGATAACTTTGGATTTTTATCTCTTTTGTTTTACTGCCCTGGGTAAAATACTAATGGAAAGCCAATAAACCATTTGCAACAAAAATAAATCTTATTCATGTTGAAGATATTTGCACTTAGTTTTCTGGTGCGTGCATCTGTGTCACTGGTTTGTGATCAGAAACATTTAACGTTAGCTGTTATAGTATTTGTGTGAATGATGAAGCAGTTAGGTTCAGCAATTTGGAATTTACTGAATCATACAATGAACACTCAGTTAACGTGGAGAGTGAGATTAAAGAGGCTGGCAATTTGGTAATTCACAAACCATCCATTTTAGATTTGTAAGGTTTGTTTGAAATTGTACTTTTTTTACAGGATATTGTTTCCACCCTTGTTCCCTCCCACGGCATTATTATTGAGCTGCGCAGCACTCTTGCTGAGTGGACATTCAGAACATTGTTTCTCAGCGTTTTTAATACCTGTCTTCATGCTTTGCCATTGGCCACAGATATGATCGTGTTTAAATTGGATTCCTCCACACTTGATGCTTATAACTTTAAAATCAAATTTATGTATTCATGATTTTTAAAATCAGATTTCTGAACAATATGATAACATTTATGATTTTAAATCAATTAAGCGGTAGTTAAGAACATGGACAAGAGAAGTAAAAGGAAGTAGACCATTTAGCTTGTTCAGCTTACTGCACTATTCCAACCACTCATGACTGATGGTTAGTTTCGAATCCCCTTTCCTGCCAGCATCCCATATCCCTTGATTGCCTGAGATACCAAAGATCTGTCTGTCACAGCCCTGAATACAATCAATGGTGAAGTATTCATGTCTCTTTGAATGAAGAAATTTCTCCTCTTCTTAGTGCTAAATGATTTACCTTTTCCTTAAACAGTGCCCCATGTACTAGACCCCACAGCCAGGGAAAATTAACTCTCAGCATCTACCTTGTCAAGCTCCTCCATAAACTTGAATGTTTCAATGAGCTCACCTCACACTTCTAAACTCCAGAGACTACACAGTTGACACAATTTACTTCGTCTCTTGTGATAGGACAATGCTGTTGGTGCAGGGAATCAATCTAGTGAGAGATATTTCATGATGTTGAAACATATACCTTGACAATGCAGTGAAACGGGTGACTATAGAAATACAGAGAATGCTGGAGAAACTCAGCTGGTCTGGCAGCATCTGTGAAGAGAGAGTGACAGAGTTAACATGTCAAGTCTGGCAAGATGCTTCTTCTGTTCTGCTGAGTTTTCTGCATTGGCTTCATATTTCCAGCATCCCCAGTATTTTGCCTTTATTCAACTAAAATTACAGAGTCATAGAGTTGTACAGCACAGAAACAGACCCTTCAGTCCAAGTCATCCATGCCGAACAGATATCCTATATAAATCTAGTCCCATTTGCCAGCATTTGGCCCATATCCCTCTAAACCCTTCCTGTTCATGTACCCATCCAGATACCTTTTAAATGTTGTCATTGTACCAGCCTTCACTACTATGATATTGCTCTTGCACTGAAACATGATAATAGTATTCTGTCATCTTAAAAAGACCATAATTAGTTTTATTTTACATTTATTTTAAATTTGAAATGGAAAAAAAAATCTCTTTTTTACTGCCAGTGTGGTAAAATGCTTTATTTTGCATGACTTACTCATTTTTTCTTCTCCTTTTTCCTGGAGTAAATGCTGCTGTCCCAACTTGCCAAAAAAGCTGATCCTCACATTAACCTATTAACCATGAATATTGCCTGGCCCTATGGACACATGTTGTATAAATTACTGGCAAGCAATGTGCGAACAACAGGATAATCTGAGATTTAGGATTCAAACAAGGTCAGACTAAAAGCATTTAACCTACTAAATGACAATTTCCTGGAGATTTTCTCGAGGGAAGATATACTTACTTATCAGCCATCATCGTCTTCCTATAATTAAAATTAATGAGTTTGACATCACAGGCAGAGAGGTCCTGGTTAGGATTAAAGAGCTCAAAATAGGTTAATTTCTAGTGGCAAAGGTATATATCCAATGGCAAGATCGGAGATGGAACCTGCACTGATCATTTTTAGGAATGATTATAAAGGAGATCCCATTGAATCGGAAACAAAGAAATTTCTCAGAAAAGGTGTTTCATTGATAATTGGCTACATACAGCATTCAGGAGAGGGTTGATCCTAACTATATTCAAGTTAAACTACAATTGAACACAGGGACAAATTGATAAAAGAGAAATTTGTGGTTTTAGTTGGGAAACGATTCTTCCCAAGCAGTGATTAATACATGGAATGATCTCCGTAGGAGGGAAGTGGAGCTTGATGGGCTGGGATCTTTGAAAATGCAATTGGAATCTTTATGTAATCCCATTTGTTACTCCTCAGATACTGAAGCAGTCCATGCACAACACCTTGAGGCTGTAACGTTTAGCCACACAAGAGCCAAGCAGTGATCATTAATACCAAGAGAGGATCTGACCATCTCCCTGTAACATTCAATGACATTACCATTGCTGAATTCCCCAACATTGACATCTTGTGTTACCATGACTAACAAAAGAACTGAACCAGCCCCATAATTAATGTGGCTACTAGAGCAGAACACCAAGACTGGGAATACTGCAATGAGAAGCTCACTTCTTGACTCCCCAAGTCTGTGTACCATCTGTAAGGCACAGTGGTTTACTCTCTACTTACCTGGATGAGTGCACCTGCAACAGCACTCAAGATACTCAACACCATCCAAGACAAAGCAGCCCATTTATTGGCACAACACTCACTTACTCCACTACCAGCGCTCAGCAGCAGCATGTATGATCTACAGGATAACTGCAGTAACTCATCAAAACTACTTCAAAAGCACCTTCCAAACCTACAACCACTACCATCTAGAAAGACAAAGGCAACAGATGCATGAGAACATCATCCCCTGAAAGTTTCCCTCCAAGCCACTCACCGTCCTGACTCAGAAATATATCAATGCTTTTACACTGTTGTTGGGTCAAAATCCCAGAACTCCCTCCCTAACAGCACAGCTGGGGCTCCCTACGCAACATGGATACAGTATTTTAAAAGAAAAGCTCACCACCACTTCTCAAGGCTGTTTAGGGTTAATCAATAATGCCCTTACCAGTGACAGTTACACCCTGTGAAGAAATACAAGTCTATAGATTCAACTGAGGTCAGTTAAGTTGAGACAGAGCAGAGATCAATGCCAAGATCTTCCTAAAGCATATGGCTTTGTGACAAATCACATGGAAATGTTTTCTGGCTGTTAGGAAAGCAGGA